ACTCACGCTCAGACTCAGACTCACATTCACACTCCGACTCACGTTCAGACTCAGACTCACACTCACGCTCGGACTCACGCTCAGATTCGGACTCACGCTCAGACTCGGATTCACACTCAAACTCCGACTCACACTTACACTCATACTCAGACTCGGACTCACGCTCATGCTCGGACTCACGCTCATGCTCAGACTCCGACTCACACTCACGCTCGGACTCACACTCATGCTCGGACTCACTCTCAGACTCCGACTCACGCTCAGACTCAGACTCACACTCACACTCAGACTCAGACTCACACTCACGCTCGGACTCACGCTCATGCTCGGACTAGCGTTCATGCTCGGACTCAAAGGCTCAGACTCACACTCGGGCTCACGCTCAGACTCAGACTCGGGCTCACGCTCAGACTCAGACTCACACTCACGCTTGGACTCATGCTCACACTCAAGCTTGGACTCACGCTCACACTAGGACTAGCGTTCACACTCAGACTCACACTCACACTCGGATTCACGCTCAGACTCACACTCTGACTCACACTCAGACTCAGACTCACACTAACACTCGGACTCACGCTTACGTTCAGACTCACGCTTGGACTCACAGTCGGACTAACGTGCATACTCGTACTCACACTCATACTCACACTCAGATTCACACTCAGACTCATACTCAGGCTCACACTCAGACTCAGACTCACACTAACACTCGGACTCACGCTTACGTTCAGACTCATGATTGGACTCACGCTCACACTCGGACTAACGTTCATACTCGGACTCACACTCATACTCGAACTCACGTTCAGACTCACACTCAGACTCACAAGTTCAGACTCATGCTTGGACTCATGCTCACATTCATGCTCGGACTCACTCACACTCAGACTCAGACTCACACTCGCACTCGGATTCACACTCAGACTCACACTCGGACTCAAGCTCACACTCAGACTCATGCTCGGACTCAGACTCATGTTCAGACTCACTCACACTCAGACTCACGCTTGAACTCATGCTCACACTCAGGCTCATGCTCGGACTCACACTGACACACACTCTGACTCCCACTCATGCTCGGGCTCACAGATGCTCCGAGTCCCGAGTGCCAACCCCATGCCTCCCCGCAAGGTCTCTGGTGATGGTGGGTCCTTCCTGGCTGCCTGGACACACTCACCAGCCTTCTTGG